GATTCTAAGATTCTCTGATCCTATGATTCTATGATTCTAAAATGTATGATTCTAAGATTCTATGATTCTAAAATGTATGATTCTATAATTCTATGATTCTACGTTTTTAGATTCTGTTTCTAAAATGTATGATTTTAAGATTTTATGATTCTAAGATTCAGTGATTGATTCTAAGATCCTATGATTCTATGATTTTAAAAGTATGATTCTAAGATTCTATTATTCTAAAATGTATGATTCTAAGATTCTATGATTCTATAATTCTATGATTCTACATTTTTAAGATTCTGTTTCTAAAATGTATGATTTTAAGATTTTATGATTAAGATTCAGTGATTCTCTGATTCTAAGATCACAAAGACTCATTTCTGGCAGAGTTTGGGGGAGAGAAAGAAAGACTTCTGCTGCTTCTGCTGCTTTCCTTGCATGAAGCCAAAAGTCAGTCAGTCAGTCTCTCTCTCTCTCTCTCTCTCTCCCCCCCTCCCCCCCCCCCCCCCCCCCCCCCCCCCCCGAGAACAAAGATGGAGATGGTATCCTGCGATCCCAAATAAAGAACAATCGATCGGTAGGAAAACAGAGTGGGGAATTTTCCTGCAGACTTCTTTTTGGATTTTCCCAGGGTCTCTGATCCGCGGGATTTAAAATTATCAGTTTGGTGGTCCCTGAGGTCCAAAAGATTGGTGACCCTGGTCCAGACTGAGTGGCTCTGGGTTTGGGGTTTTTGCCCCCTTTGATCTTGGATGGGGTGGCACTACCCCAAACAACCCTGTGCATAATCTGGGGGTTCTCCTGTACTCGCAACTCCTACCTGAAGAGCAGGTGGCGGTTGTGGCCAGGAGGGCCTTTGCGCAACTGTGGGTTGTGTGCCAGTTAAGCCCTTTTCTGGACCAGCAATCCCTACTCACAATCACTCATGTTCTAGTCATTTCCCACCTTGAAGAGCAGCTGGAAGCTCCAGTTGGTGCAAAATGCAGCTGCCCGCATGGTTTTGTGCAGACTTGTATCACACCTCTCCTGCGGGAGCTGCGTTGATTACCGATTTGCTCTGGGTCCAATTCAAGGTGCTGGTTGTCACCTTTAAAGCCCTTCATGGCTTGAGACCAGGTTATCTGAGGGACCGTCTCTTGCTGGTCAAATCTACCTGACCCATCAGAATGGGGAGGCAGGGAATTCTGTAGGTCTCATCCCCTAGGGCAGTGTTGGCAAATCTTTTCGGCACCAAGTGCCAAAACAAGAGTGCACATGTGTATGTGGGGGAGCACCAGAAACTGGAAGAGCAGCTCCCTGGTGCGCGGGAGCACTGGAAACCACTTGGTCTTCCGGTTTCTGGTGCACATGTGCATGTGAAGCTCAGCTTCCCAGTGCATGCATGGCGGGGACTGCTCTTCTGGTTTCCAGCACTCCTGCATGCGTGAAGACCCTGGAAGAGCAACGGGCAATGCCTGGCGGGTCCGGAGAGATGGCTCTGTGTGCCACTTCCGGCACATGTGCCATAGGTTTCCCATCATGGCCCTGAGGAGATACACCTGGTGGGACCCAGAAGAAGGGCCTTCTCCGTGGTGGCTCCCTTTCTCTGGAACATCCTTCCCCCAGAGATTAGAATGGCTCCCGCTCTAGCACTCTTCTGGAAGGCACTGAAGACCTGGTTCTGCCAGAGGGCATGGAGAATACAAAGTGGGATGGAGCCCATTAAATGGCTTGTGTGAGTTATTGTCACCAGGGTGGGGTGGGGTGGGCATTATTTTATTTATTATACGTTATTCTTTTATTAGTTTTATGTGATGTTTTTATATGTTTGTAAGCCACCTTGAATCATCATGTGTGAATAGGTGGCAATATAAATCTCCAAAAATAAATAAATAAATAAAATATCACATGGGGCTGGACAAATCAGGTGGATTTTTTTGAAAATGTAAGGCAAACTTTGACATTTTTTTCCCCTAATAGGAGGGAATCATCAACTCCACAGCATCTCCAGTGGAGACCAATGCTGAATCTCAACCCTCTGATCTCTGTTTTGCCGTTAGCTGCCCATGATCCTCAGGGAAATTTACCTGTGTCTTCTGAACATTTGTGAACTGACCACCAAAGAAGAGACACTGAAATCGGTGTGTTACCTGGCCACAAAACATGTGATCAGTGTGTTGGACATTCTACTGAGGTGCCCAGTGGACTGATGGGTAAGAACCTGAAGGAGATGTGCCTCCTGTTTTCTTTTAGTCTATGGAAATTCTCAATCATTTGTGATTGTGGTGAATATCTATAGCTTGGGTGGAGGATGAGGGTTGGTTCTCTGAGCTTGTGGATTGGTTTCCAAACATTTCATTACCAGGCTAGATAACATCTTCGGCAGAGTTTAGAAAATGCCAGTGTTGGCGTTGTTTTGTGTGGTCAATAGGTCTTGTGATGGGAAAGTCATATCAGGTGAGGATCTTGTGATGGGTCAGGTGCAGGTCACATCAGGTGAGGATCTTGTGTTGGGTCTTATGGGGAGGTCATGTCAGGTGAGGGTCGTGTCAGGTGAGGGTCTTGTGATGGATCAGGTGTGGGTTATATCAGTTGATCTTGTGAAGAGTCAGGTGTGGGTTATATCAGATGAGAAACTTGTGAAAGATCAGGTGATGGGTCAGATGAGGGTCACATCAGGTGAGGATCTTGTGATGGGTCTTGTGATGGAGAGGTCATGTCAGGTGAGGGTCACATCAGGCAAGAGTCTAATGACAGGTCTTGTGATGGGTTAGGTATGGCTCACATCAGATGAGCTTGGGATGGGTCTTGTAGGGGAGAGGTCATGTCAGATGAGGGTTGTGTGAGGTGGGGATCTTGTGATGGGTCGTGTGTGGGTCACAGGTGAAGGTCTTGTGATGGGGATGTCACATGATGGTTGGGGGGCTATGGTGGGTTGGTTGAGGGTCGGTGCCATCATTGGTTGGCTGTGCAGTGATTTTAATTCTGAGGGGTTCGTAGATTAGTTGTCTCAACCATCCAGGTCATGGTTGTCCCCAAGGTGCTTTTCCAAAAGACAACTGGACTTTCTTGGATTTTTAACTTTCTTGGTTATAAATTGAGAATTACTTGTATATTTCTTTTCTTGGATTACAGCAGTTAATTTAGCCATCACTGCAAGCTCCATCAGTTTTCTAAGCCTTTCTTCTGTTGGGGAGGGGGGTTAATATATCTGGACTGGCAGTCTTTTCTGAAATTGGGAAGGAATCTGATTTTTTTCCAAATCTATTTTTCCGCTTCTGCAGAAGCACAAGGGAGATATAGAGGGTGCTAGTTGCAAACCCTTAAGCCAGCATGAAAATTATGAGACCCTTCCTGAAAAGGCTGCAGGTTGAAGATACTGTTACTGACACCACTGGGAGGCGAAAGAGCACATCAATCACACCAATTGCGGTAAACTGTCAATCAGCCTCTCTCTCTTTTTTTTTTACCTAGAGGTAGGCACGCACGGCTGATGGAAGTGGGAAGGGCTGAATAGAAGAGTCACCCCTCGGAGGTCTCTCCATCAAGAGCAGGCTTGCCCTGGTTGAATGGAAGCAGTGGGCAAACTGATGGGGGCTGAAATTGGAACAAAATTTGGCGTAAGCCCACAGATGTTTCCACTGAAGATAGAAACATCTGTGGGCTTCCTCATCAGAGCAGCTTTTTTAAAAAAGTGTGTGTGTGTGTGTGTGTGTGTGTGTGTATAGTATTCAGCTTTGTTCGGGTATTTTCCCACGTCATTATAGTTGTGCTTTTAAAGTTGTAGCAACGTTTCGGCAGAATCTCATCTGCCATCATCAGGCTTCTGTATTGTGTTTGTCTGTGAGTCAGACTTTCACAGCCGTTTCAGTTTTAAATTTGGGGCTAGCCTACTGCTGTGCCAGAATGGTTTTTTCTTCATCCTGATTGGTTGGGAGTCTTGGTCTGTGTTTATTGGTCTTGGAGTTTGCTGTGTTCTGCTTGATTGGTGTTTCTAATATCTTCTGTCTTTTTTGTGTCTTGATTGGCTGGCAACATTGTGTTCCTGTATTGGAGGCTTTTAGTGCAGCTTGGCTCCGAGTAAATGGACGGCTATCATTTGTTAGGAAGCTAGGTTTCGTCTGGGTGCCTGGTGGGGTGTGTTTGAGCTGGAGGTATCAGGGGGGATCTGTTTGTGCCCAGGTGTTTGCCTGGCTAGTGGTGTGGAGATTTTTTTGTTTGTGAGTGCAGGCTTCCAAATAATTGACAGTCTGGTGGAATCATCTTTTTTATTCATGCTTTCAGGTCTTTTTTCAATCTCTATGGCTTCTCTGATAACTCTGTGGCTGGGGTTTTCTATAGTGGCTAGGGTTTTGGTGCCATTGAAGTTGATGCTATGACCTGTGGCTTTCATGTGTTGGACTAGTGAGGAAGTGTGTTCCAGCTTTTTTACTCCATTTTTGTGTTCATCCAGGTGGGTACTTATTCTTCTATTGGTCTGTCCAATGTATGTGGCCAGGCATGATGCACAGGGGACTTTGTATATGCCTTGGTTTTCCAGGTCAATTTTATCTTTGGGGTTTCTAAGGATGGCTGCTATTTTTCTGTCTGTTTTGAAGGCAGTCTTGATGTGATGCCTGTGTAGTATCTTACTGATTTTGTCTGTAGTACCTCTTATGTAGGGCAGGAGATCTGTTCCATAGGTCTGTTCATCTTCTGGGTCTCTATTATGTCTCAGTGTGTTTTTGTGGATCAAGCCGGTGATTTTGCTTTTGTGGAAGCCGTTGGCTGTCAGTACTTTAGTCAGGGTGCATAGTTCAGTCTTTATGTGTGTCTTGTCATCCTATGGCAGATGTCGAGAGATGTCCCCTTTCAGGATGGAGACACTGTGATCATCACTGCCCCCTTGCCCTGTCATATCTTAGTCCTGGGATAGTTTATTAACTTTCCTATCTCCTGAGCTAGGAGAAGGCTGGGTTTTCTCTGTAGAACATGTACAGTATCATAACCAGATTATCTGACTCCATCTTTCCTCCGTAGGCCCAGGTCTCCAGGAATACCCTCAACTCCTGTGTCTGCTTCATGAACTTGGGGAACATCCCCAGCAATCTGTTTGATTACAAAATATATCCAAATCTCCACAGCATGTATTCTAACATCTGCTCCATCATTGTAAGTATGAGCCAAGATGGCTTGTTTTGTTCCAGATTAGAGTATATTAACCATTTAATTATTTTTTGTCCTGCCTTTATTTTTATAAATAATTCAAGATAGTGGACATCACTACTACTACTACTACTACTATTACTACTTCTACTTCTTTTTCTCTAATTTTTTTCACAACAACCCAGTGAAGTAGGTTGCACTGGGTGAGAGGAATGGGAACAAAGTCACCAAGCCAGCTTTCATGCCTAAGGCAGGACTAGAACTCTCTGTCTTCTAATGATTGGCTCAAAGTCACCCAGGTGGCTTTCATGCCAAAGGCAGGACTAGAACTCACCAGCTCCTGGTTTGTGGCCTGATGATTTAACCACTAGAATAAACTGACTAGAGGGATTCTTCTTGGGTTTTTGCTCTCTCAGGAACAGCAGAGGTTCCATGCAACCATGAGGACTAAAAACCTTGCTGATTTGTGGTTTTGAGGATTAGAAATGGCAGAGTGTGGAAAAGGGAAATTATGGTGTAACTTGAGAGTGGAGGTGGGTGGGAAAATATAAATGCATTTATAAGTTCAGAAGTCATTTCTTTATCCTCTTTCTATTTCTTTCCTTTTTCTATTTTCCTTTTTCGTATCTACTATTTTCCTTTATGATTTTAATTTGGATAAAACTGTCTTTAATAATATAAATGTGTGTGTGTTGTACACTATACCAGGGGTCGCCAATCTTTTGGACCTCAGGGACCACCCAACTCATAATTTTAGATCCCACATAGACCACTAACTGGTTCTGCGGGTGTGGCCTAATTTGTGGGTGTGGCTTGGTGGTCATGTGACTGGCTGGGCATGGCTTGTATGTAAATATTATAAATATTTATATAAATATTGATTATTTTTTTTGTAAAAAAAGAGCAACTTTTACCCAAAATTAGGCAAAGCAGGCAGGCAGATTGAGTTGTTCACAGAATCACAGATTCATTCAGAAATCTATCTATCTGCCATTGGCTAGCTCAGTCTGTCACATAAAATTTGCTTGCAAGCAAACTCATAAAATTAACTTACAACACACCATGTATGTACATATTGAATTTTTTATAAAAAAGAGCAACTTTTTCCCAAAATCAGGCAAAGCAGGCAGAATCATTCACTGATCTATCTATCTTCCATCGGCTAGCTCAGTCTCTCAAATTTGCTTGTCGTGAGTCTGCACTGAATTTGCTTGCAAGCAAACCTTCAGTCCTAAGGGAGGTTCGGCTGTGCTTAGCTAGAAAGCAAGAAATCCAACCATTTCCTGCTTCCTAGCTAATCTAAATCTCCTGGCACAGCAGAACAGATGATGGTCAGAAAAAGGAAAAATAGTAATTTAGCAGGCAAGTTTGCTGGGTAAGGAGTGAGTGAGTGGGGAGGGTTCCTGCGGGCCATGTGGGCGGCACAGCCTTGTGTTTCTGCGCAGCCTGGATTAATTGCTTTGGGGGGGTGCTCTGGGGGTGAGATTTCTCTGCGGCCCACCAAAATTTTCTCACGGCCCACCAGTGGGCTGCAGCCCACCGGTTGGTGGCCGCTGCACTATACTATAGTCTAATATACTAAACTAAACTAAACTAAACTAAACTAAACTATCCAATACAATATAATGTACAATATAATATAACTATCCAATACAATATAATTGCATTGTATTGTATAATAGTACAGTATAATAATAATGTCATTTAGTATAGTATAGTATACAGTATAATAATAATATAGTTTAGCATAGTACAATACAATACAATATAGTAAAATATAATATGTATGTTACTGAAGGCTTTGTTATTGAGGACATGAGGACTAGAAACTTTACTAAGAAAGCGGCTCCTTTGTAAAATAGGAAGCTATATAGTTTATTGGCTTGTTTGTTGCCTTGTTTTCCCCAGATAAATAAATGCAAGCAAAACCTTCCTGAAATGCTGGTTCAGATGGTGGATTTCTTGAAGAGCGGGTACGCATCCTATAGAAAGGCAGCTGCCCTCTTAATTGGTAATCACAAATACAAACTCTGGAAGAAGGGGATGAAAAACCAAGACAGACAGGCAGCCTAATGCCATGCACGCTGACCATTATAATCAAAAAGTGCAGAATTAAGCAATATTGCATCAAATTGGAAGCTGCTCTCATACTGTGTGGCTATAGAAGAGGAACTTACCAAATTTGCAGATGATACTAAGCTGGCAGGAATAGCCAACACCCAAGAAGATAGGCTCAAGATCCAGATGGATCTCAACAGACTTGAACACTGGACCCTATCTAACAAAATGAAATTCAATGTAGAGAAAAGTAAAATTTTAAACTTGGGCAAGAAAAACCAAAAGTACCCATATAGACCAGGTGAAACCAGACTTCTTAATAGCAGTAACTATGAGAGGGATCTTGGTGTCTTAGTAGACCACCAGTTAAATATGAGCTAGCAGTGTGCAGTGGCAGCCAAAAAACGCTAATGCAATCCTAAATTGCATTAACAGAGGGATACAGTCAAGATCAAGGGAGGTACTAATACCACTCTATAAAGCCTTAGTAAGACCACACCTAGAGTACTGCATCCAGTTTTGGTTGCCACACTATAAAAAGGACTAATGGGTAAAAACTGATCAAGGAGAGATTCAATGTGGAAATAAAGAGAAATTTTTTGACAGTGAGAACAATCAACCAATGGAACAGAAGTTGCCTTCAGAAGTTGTGGGAGCTTCATCACTAGGAGCTTTCAAGAAGAGATTGGACTGCCATCTGTCAGAAATGGTTTAGGGTCGGCTTGGGGGGGGGATGTTAGATGACCTACAAGGTCCCTTCCAACTCTGTTATTCTGTTAATCTGCTTCTCCATAATTGCTATCAGGTTCCTGATGCTGATCTGAACAACCGACACCGCCAGCCCTCCTGATTTTCATAACCCTTCTTCCTTGCTATGATTTCCACTTCATATCTCCTTCCCACCCACCCTCATTGGCCTAATTTATTTAAATAATAATAATATCCCCCTTATACAGGTGGTCCTCGACATAACCACAACTGAGCCCAACAATTTATGTGGCTAAGCGAGACAGTTATTAAGTGAGTTCTGTCCCGTTTTACATTTCCTGCCACATTTCTTAAGGGTATCAGTTCATAAGTTAGTCAAGTGGTTATTAAGTGAATCTTGCTTCCCCTTGGATTTTGCTCATGTGAAGGTTGCAAAAAGTGATCATATGACCCCAAGACACTGCAACCGTCATAAATATGAGTCAGTTTGCCAAGCGTCCGAATTTTGATTATGGGGTTGCGGCAACGGCTGTAAGTGTGAAAACAGTCATAAGTCACCTTTTTCAGTGCCATTGTAACTTTGAATGATCACTAAATGAACTATTATAAGTCGAGGACTACCTGACCTGTATGTGGTCATCCCTCTCTGTTTTATAAGCAACCACACAGCAGTGGTTTTCAGTCTGGAAATGTTTTCAAGGCCCATGTGGCCTCCCATTGAAGTATTAACTGGATTCAACACTGCTTTTTTCAAGATTATGGCTGATTGGAGTGTCATCGAACATAAAATGCTTGAGTTGGAAGGGACGGTAGAGGTTTCTAGTCCAACCCCTTGCTCAAGCAAGAGTCCCTATACCATTTCAGACAAATGGTTGTCCAGTCTCTTCTTGAAAGCTCCAGTGATGGAGCTCCCACAACTTCTGAAGGAAAGCCATTCCACTGATTAATTCTTCTGTCAAGGTATTTCTCCTCAGTTCCAGGTTGCTTCTCTCCTTGAACAGTTTCCATCCATTGTTTCTTGTCCTGCCTTCAGGTGCTTTGGAGAATAGATTAACTCCTCTCTTCTTTGTGGTAGCTCCTCAAATACAAATTAAAAAACTAATGCAACCCTTGGTTGCATAAACAGAGGCATAAAATCAAAATCATGTAACATATTACTATCGCTTCATAAAGCCTTAGTAAGGCCACACCTGGAATGCTGAATCCAGTTTTGGTCCCCACATTACAAAAAAGATGTTGAGACTTTGGAAAAAGTGCAAAGAAGGGCAACTAGGATAATCAAGGGCCTGGATACAAAACATACGAAGAACAGTTGCAGGATTTGGGTATGGCCAGTCTAGAGAAAAGAAGGGCTGTGGGTGGACAGGACATGATAGCAGTGTTCCAGTATCTGAGGGTCTGCCACAAAGAAGAGGGAGTCAACTTATTTTCCAAAGCACTAAAAAGCAAGACAAGAAACAATGGATGGAAACTAATCAAGGAGAGAAATAACATGGAGTTAAGAACAATTAACCAGTGGAACAGTTTGCCTTCAGAAGTTATGAGTGCTCCATCACTGGAAGCTTTTAAGAAAAGTCTGGACAGCTACTTGTCTGAAATGCTATATGCTTGAGCAAGGGGTTGGATTAGAAGACCTCCATGGTCCCTTCCAGCTCTGATTGATTGGTTGGTTGGTTGATTTGATTGATTGATTGAAATATTGGAAGACTGCTATCATATCACCCCTTGTCTTCCTTTCACTAGATTGAAAAATACCCAACTCCTGTAACCATCCTGTAAAGTCCCAAAATGACTGTTCCAAGTAGAAACAAATTGTGGTGGTTTTTTTTTTTCTTTAATCAAAGCAGTTGATTTAGCCTTCTCTACTAACTCTCATCAACTTTCTTATTTTATGTGTCTAGCCGGCTGCGCTCAGTACATGAAACCAGATGTGGTCACTTCAAAAGAAACCGAAGAAGTTTACCTTGGTGAGTTTAAAAGTTTGTTGCAGCTGATTGTATGAAAGATGTCTTTTGGCAGTGCGGCCATTGCATCAACCCGGATTTTATCACCAATCAGTTGCTCTCCAGTCATCAAGAGGATATTAAGACAGTCCTCCAAGACCAAGCAATGACACCTCTCTCTCTCCCTCTCTCCCTCCCTAACCCTCCCTCCCGCCCTTCCTCCCCTCATTCCAATATCCATCCTTCCTAACTTACTTCCTAACTTACTTACTTCTCTCATTCCCATGTCGGTCCTTCCTTCCTAACTCTTCCTTCTCTCATTCCCATATCCTTCCTTTCTAACTCCCTCCCTCCTCTTTCTTTTTCTTCTCCTTTCCCACTTTTCTTCATCTCAAGGTGATGTCCACAGCATTTCTTCCACCTGTTTTTTCTCAGAACAACCCTGAAGATTAGGCTAAAAAGAGGCTGAGGGGACTTGAACCCAGGTCTCTTCACTCCAAAAGCAAAGAGTTGGTACATAGAGCTGCTACTTGAACCAGAGACTCTTAATCCCAATGTTCTTGTCATCAACTTACCGACCTAAGGGGGCCTGATGGGAAGGGGGTCTTGCCTAAAAACGGGAGGTCCAACCCAAACTCCCACAAATACTGTACCAATCCCTGGCTGAGGGTGGACTTGAGTGCAGATTTCTTTGCTTCTAAGCAACATCTTTGGACCTCATAAACTCTCAATACCTGAAATAAAATCTCACACATGAATATAAATATTATTGTATAATGCAGGATTGAATGAGTTAACAGGCAGTTTTAAGGGTGGAACCATTGCGCTCTTTGAAAGTGACATAGAATGATAGCATCTGTTTGTGAAAAGTATTAAAACAGATTCCAAGATGTACTAGACAGTGAAGTGAAGACTTCTTTTTTATAATTTTTCCTTTAATATTAAACATACAAATTCAATGTTTATATGAACAGTGTGTTGTCTGAGTAGTAGTTTTTGAGAAATAGTATAATATTCAATAACATTAATGACAATCATGTATTTACTTATCCATTTTAATAAACCTTCAATAGTTAATCATTTCCTTATGCTTTTAAGTTTCTAATTTCTGTTTCTGCTAGTTAACCATTGATAAAACAAATCCCATGTTAAAAAGTATTCGGTTTCTTCTTAATTTTGAGTGTTAATCTATCCATTTCAGCACATTCTAATATTTTTATAATATTTTCATCTGTAGGGATTTCTTCATTTTTCCATTGTTATGCAAACACAATTCTAGCTGCAGATAACTCATGTAAAGTTAATTATGTTTATTATATTTTTCAGGTAGAATACTGAAAATATTTCTGGCTTTAGATCTATGTGTTGCTTTATTATTTTTTCTAACCATGTGTAGCCAATTTTTTTTTGCCTTTGGGCATGTCCACCACATGTGATAGTATGAACCCGGTGTGTCTGATTACGTTTTCAACACTTAGCAGACATAACCTTAAACATCTTTGTCAATCTTGCTGGCTGAAAATGCCATCTATGAAATATTTTATATTAATTTTCTTTATATGCAATTGACATTGTTAATTTATAATTCCTATCCCACAATTTCTGCCATTTATCTAACTCTAATACTATTACAATTTTTTTGGCCCATACTATTATTGTTTCCTTTACTTGCTCTTCTTCCATTTTAATTCTCAATAAAGTTATAATTTTTTAAAATTAGTTTTTCATCTGTCCCTGTTAATATCTGATCCAATTCTGTTAGTTCTTTATATATTTTAGCATCTTTCTCATATCTTGATTATATTTGCACATGTGGCCATCATGCCAAATCAATCCCTTGACTATTCAGTTCTTGTTTAGTTTTAAGTTCCCCTTTTTTGTTCAAACTGTTGTTATAGTTTAACATGGGCTATTTTCAAGACATTGCAGAGTCTAGTAAGGAAATGATGATCCACTAGAGACAATTTGTTTAGTGTCTCTATAAAATGAGCTGGAAAGAATGTATTCAGTGGGTTCCAATTTGCTTATTATTGCTGGAGCAATTTTAGTCTTCCACAGAAAAATTAAATACTTTACAGAAAATTTTCCTGTACTGTTAAACACTGTTACATTGTTAATGTGGCAAAAATGGTTTGCAGAAAATCTTTTGAATTCTAGGTTAGGTATTTCATGATGAAATTGAGTTTGATAATTCTCTTTAAGGATAATAATCATAATGTACTTTTCATTATACATAACCTTTAATTATCCACAATCCTTAAGTGGTTCAAACTGAGTTTTGCATGACAAGGCAGTGTAAATGTTAATAATAAATCAGATGGTGATACAGCTCTGGTGACAAAAATGTGACAAGTCAGATGATCAGAGAACCCTGGTGCCATCTCAGGTGGAGATGTGGTTCTGTGATCCTTTTTGTGACACTATTTCGTAGCAAGATTTTTGTTGTTAAAATACTGCACTTATTAAGATATAGACTTCAGTTAATAACAGCAATTGGGATTGGAATTGCTGTTGCTAAACAATGCTGTTGCAAAGTGCAATGTCATGTGATCATGTAGTTTAGCAATAGCAATTCCAACACTAGTAATTGTCATTTTTAAGAAAATCATTGGCTTTCCCATTGACTTTGCTTGTTGGAAGCAAGCAAATAAGGTTGCAAATAATGACCTTTGAATGCTGCAATATTGTAACTGAGCCAGATATTAAGTGCCCAAATTGCTATCAGATGATTGTGGGGACATTCTGATGGCTGAACTTAGCAGATCAATTGAAACCTTGAACAGTTACTGAATGAGTGGTTTAGTGCAGGGGTTGCTAATCTTTTGGACCTCAGGGAGCACCAAACTCGTAATTTTAAATCCCGGGGACCACTAATATGAATTTGACTGACAGTGGCTTGCTGACATTGGTGGGAGAAAATGAGAGAGATCTGATCTAACCTCTTTCTCTTACACACACACACACACACACACACACACACAGAGGCAGGGGTGAGATTCAAATTTCTTAACTGGTTCTGTGGGTGTGGCCTAATTTGTGGGTGTGGCTTGGTGGTCATGTGACTGGCTTAGCATGACTTGTATGTAAATATACTTATATATTGAATTTTTTATAAAAAAGATCAACTTTTACCCAAATCAAGCAAAGCAGGCAGGCAGATTGAGTTGCTCACAGAATCTCAGATTCATTCAGAGATCTATCTTTCTGCCATCAGCTACCTATACTGAATAATAGAAGCTTCAGTACTGAGGAAGTTTCGGCTCTGCTTAAAAGCAAAGCTGAAGATCTAAACATAGCCAGAAAGCAAGAAATCCAACTGTTTCCTGCTTTCTAGCTAATCTAAATCTCCCAGCACAGCAGAACAGCTGATGATTGGAAAAAGGAAAAATAGCAATTTAGCAGGCAAGCTTGCTGGGTAAGGAGTAGGTGGGGAGTATTCCCGCAGGCCATGTGGGCGGCACAGCCTTGTGTTCCTGCGCAGCCTGGATTAATTGCTTTGGGGGGGTGCTCTTGCAGACCACCAGTGGGCTGTGGCCCACCAGTTGGTGACAGTTGGTTTAGCGTGTCACAATCCTGGAAAATTATCTTATTAATGGAATCTACACAAGTGATAAGTGTAATATATTGTAGTGTAAATGAAACAAGGACAATATATATCAAGCTAGAAATTCTGTATGTCATACAAGCATTTTTATTTAAACAGACCATTTTTTGGGGGGGGAGAAACAGCTCAAATTTTTTATGAAATAGTTAAACCACATTTATGGTTCCCATCCCTTTCCTCCAGGCTGTTGTGGCAGTTTAAATCCTACAAGTCCTGCCACTATGTCTGTTGATCGTTCTCCTTTGCCATGATATTCCTTATGTAGTACTAAGTGTTCCCAAATACTATGCAGAAGACAGAGATAAGTAGCAGCCTGAAAATGTAAGTCATGCTGGGCTTTGCAGAGTTTTTCACTGGTTACCTGGAGTCAGAGAAAAGACATGCATAAGAAACGGTATTGTTTGCATCTACTGTAGTTTTCAATTCAGATAAATACATTTTTAGCTTACACTTGAACCAATATGTGTGTGTCCAAATAAATCTGCTAGAATTTATTACAGTGGTAGCACAATGATAGCATATACAAGTAAATCACTGTTCCACATAGAAAATTAAAACCTAAGGAAGAAAATGTTCGATTATATTTTTATTCATTTTTTAAAATAGAATCCTATCCTAAGGGATAACACAATCGTACTTTGTAAGTAGATTTTCCCCATGTGGTCTGAATTATAATTTCATGTCTATGGAGATTCCCAGTCATCCAGGTCATGGTTGTCCCAAAGGTGCTTTTTCAAGAGGCAACTGGACTTATGTTTTTTTTAAAAAAAGATGTTTCACTTCTCATCCAAGAAGCTTCTTCTTGGGTGAGAAGCAAAACGTCTTCAAAAACAAAAAACAAAAAACTAGAAAGTCCAGTTCCTCTTGAAAAAGCACCTTTGGGACATTATAATTTCATGTGACCAAGATGGAAGGTAAGGTGTTTTTTTTTAAAAAAAAAAAAATCCTTCCAACTTGCCTTTCTCAGCAGCTTTTCCACTCTTCTGCAGTGTAATGTTCCACGAGTCAGAACACACAAGTGCGACCTCTGCCTATAGCCCAATCATCATTCCATTTGCTATGGTCCTCAGCTGCCATTCTGTAATGCAGGGGTCTCCAAATCTAGCAGCTTCAGGCTGGGTGGGAAATCCTGGGAGTTGAAGTGCACAAGTCTTAAAAGTTTCTAATTTTGGAGACCCCACTGTATTGCATTATGTTAAAACGATGTAATGCGTTTAGTATCTTGAAATTCACATGGAACATTGGAATGGGGGAGCAGAAGCGAACGTGTAGCAAGTGTTTTCATGAAATGGCTTGAAACTTCTTCACAAAAAGTTGCTATCGTACGCTTTAATCGTTAACTTTAACAGTATCATGAATATTAGCTTTTTAGTTAATGCCTGCATAAAACCCAGGTGCCTACTATTAGGGCTACCATAGC